ATTACTTAATTTCTATCTACATTCATATCTGAATAATTGAGTAATGATTCATATATCATTTTTTTTCTCCTTAGTAGAAGTTCAAAGGACGATATATTATAGAAAACAAAAGTATTTAATATTTTTCCCTCAGTATCATGGAAAATTTTGCATAAAAATTAGCTATATATTTCAATTAGTTCTCTTCTTAGTTTTTTTAGCATTTTACTGATTTTATAGTATTGTTTTTCAACACTTATCCTTCTTTTTTATATATATCTATATACTTCATATTTTTACAATTTGTAAAATGTTCCTGACATAAGATTCCAATAAGTTTATTTATTTATAAGAACCGAAAATAAATATATATCATGCAATAATTCAATGTAACACCATTTTTTACTATACCTCGTTACATAAATATTATCATCAGACGCAACAATAATTTATATGTTCTTTTTGCTGCATTATATTGAATATAGAATTTGTGAATAAAATAATTATTCTTATGTGTTATAAAAAAAAAGGTATATTTTATTTTAACTTTTTAAAATCAAGAAATAAAAATTATCCATTAATATAAATATATCTTTTATGCACCATTCAAATTTTTATTGCCGTGTGTTAATATATACAAGGGTCAAGATTATTATTTGAATTAAAATATAACCTGATATATTATAATTATTAAATAATATAATTTTCATATATTTTAAAACGATGAATAATAATATATATAAAAAATATTATTTTAACAGTGAATTAAACATGAATCACTCTCCATAATAAATGTTATATTTATTGTATGGGATAATAGTATATTTTATGGGTATTATAACTTACTAATTATTTTTAATTCTTAAAAGTTTTCCTTGAAAACATATTATTCCTATAAAAGTAACTAAAAATATAAAATTTATAAAATGCTAAACTAAGCTATTATGAATTATCATGTAAATTATTTTTTTGTGATATATAAATATTTTAAGCGTTTTGAATTTAAGCATAAATAGTACAAAATGATAAATAATTATTATTAAAATCATTTTTTTTCTTTTATTGTTCCAAAAAAAACGAAAAATATATATTCTGTTTATATTATTTTTATTTATTTAGTAATAGGTATATTGCAGCATTCATTTTATTTTGCATTTATATATATCTATTCATTATAAATAGCATGAATGACAGTCTTTATATAATTTATAAGAATTATAAAAAGGAAATCTCAATTTTTTATTCAATATAGAATAATATGTTCTGGTAAAATAAAAATAAATTATATATATTAAAATATAAGCATTTTATGTCATTCCGTCTCTGCTTATTATAACATTTTTATTATTTGATACAAGGAACAAATATATTGTTTAATTATAAAAAGTTCATAAAATTAATACAAATATTTATAAATTCATTTTTTATAATACAACTATATATAACATATAATAGATTAATAATTTATATAATATGCAGTTTCTGTGAAATATCGTAGGCGTAACTTATGTACTCATGTTTATAATGTTAAAGGATATTTTATAACATATTGTCTAAATGACCTCCAGTACAAAATTATTTATACATACTTTATAGAGATTTAGATATAATTAACATGTATTACCATTAAAAATTTTATTATATGTGTATTATTCTTTGCATAATGATAATTAAAATATTAATTTATAATTCATAAAGTATTAATCATAAATTATAACATGCATATTACGTAAATGTTTTCAATTCATCTAAATTGTTATTGAAACTAAAGATTTGTGATAAAAATATACTATGTAAAATAAATATTTCTTTCATAAATATATTTATCATTTAATTTATCGTTTAGTATAATTATAATATAGAAGTATGTTGTACATATAACTATATTATAGTTGTATTCTTTATTATAAAATATTATCACTAAATTCTATTACTATATAGATACTTTTTTAATGTGAATCAATACACTAAAGTAATAATTCCATGTGCCCATTAGTACAATGGATAATAATATAAAAAGAGTAAAAAAAAAATTAAAATTTTTTTGTAATATATATAAATTATAAATTGTAAATTATATTTTATCATTGTAGTATTCATTCTTACAATTTTGTTGTTCAACAACCTAAAAAAAACAGTTTGTTCTTATGAATTAATTCACATAGTTTTTTTAAAATGGATAACGCGCCCCAAACAAAAGATACGGTATGTTTCTATTTATTGTTATATTCATAATACATATGATATAATTTTAAAATATCCTTATTTGTGAAAAAAAAGAAATTCTTTGTATTAAAAAAAATTATTTTAAAATATATTACTCATTACTGCTTTCTTTTTTAGTTCGATTTTACTAATATATTTCCCCAGTGTCAAGATGGTTTTCAGTGGATAAATTTTACACCTCATGGTGAACTTCCTGACAAGTTAACAAGTTTGTGTAGTGACTTTAACCTTAATTATAGAACTTCTCATAGTCCTCATCCTTTTGTTACAGATTGCCGACTTGTTACATATTATTTAAAGCATATACAAAATAAAGAAAAAAATATTATTTTAAATGCATGCTGTAAATATTTCTTTTACAAGCTGAAAAATCTGCTGAAAAAATTTCCATCAACATGTCAAGACACAAAGAGTTGTTATGAAGCAATAAAGAGCTTAAGCTGCCAGAAGAAATTCAATGAACAGATTTCTCCATTATTTTCGCTATGTGATAGTAAAGTTAGTGATTCAGTTGAAAAGATATTTCATATATTTGAAAGGATTGATTATACTTATGATAATTTAAGCTTATTAATAAGCAACAAGAGAAATCCTGTCGATTCGAAATTTAAAAATTTTAAAAGTGGGATGAATTATTTAGAAGGATTTCATAATATGTATAACGACAGTTTTAAAGAATTACTTATAAATTTTAATAATTATTATTTAGAATATGTAAAAAAATTAAATCAAAATGATTCCTCTGTTAAGGCATTCATGAGTTATCGAAGTAATGATGGAGATATTACAGGAGTATTGAAGGTACTAGATAAAAAGCCACAAATGCACGCAATAACAGGTACAGATACTGCTATAGATACTAGTACAGTTTCTATTACAAACAATGGTGCCCAAAGAAGTACAGGAATATGTTTTTTATTCTTCACAATATTAATAATTATGTTCATATTGTATAAGGTTAAAAATAA